CCTATATCATCGATGAGGTGGAAAATTCCACAGCAGCGTTATGATTTTAACTCCACTAATAAAAATGGATCAATATTGGCAACAAACATTAAAAATTGAAACTCGATTTGAGATCTGACGCAATGCAGAAAAAACTTACTGCATGTATCCAACCATACGCTTCTGGTTCTGACGATTTACTGTGGTCTTGCTTGAGTAACGCCTCAGCGAATGGCAATTTAATGTCGCAAAGGCTGTACCACATCTGCCGCACTCTTGGAAGACGTCCTTAAATATCGTTAAAAATGGGAAATGGCAGAAGACATCTATGTAACGTTACAATTTGCAAATTATTCCATTGCAATATCTGTGAACATTTTCAATCTACCATCACGCCTCAACAGGGCGGAAGTGGTGTAGTGGCAAGTCCCACTTCCCAGACAAGTCTGGTACCAATTAACCGACCCCGGAGGGATGGAAGGCTTGGTTGGCCCGGGCGACTCACGACCCAGGATTTGATCCCCGGACCGCTCGCGTGGTAAGCGTGCCACTTGCCACTACACCACTTCCGCCCTCCCGATATTTCCTAGCAATTAATCTCCCAAATGTGTATGAGTGCTAAAGCACTCTCGTTCACAAAACTGGTCGTGCGAAGCAACAACACGCAGCAATGCCTGTTGGCCTGCTTCATCTCTTTTTGTTGTAGTATGTGTTCTCTTTATAAATGGGCTTATTGTAAGCCAAAACGGCTAATAAAAAACAGTACCTGGTTGATAAGTGAAATGAACTGGCAAACTGCTAGCTTCAGAGGGAACGCTTCTGTCAAGGGAGACCTTCAGCCGTTGTCGTTCAGGTATTCTTGTATGCTGCCTTAAAAGAAGTGGCTCCTTATATCACAATCCAGCTAGGACTTCACATTAACACGCTTTTTTAGAGGATAGAAAAAAAATTATTAACATGTTTGAATAAAAAATGAAATAGTTAGTCTTTTGGCGGGGGTCAACCTGTTGGCTCGGGTCAAGCTCTTTTTGAAGTAGTATTCCGCGATAAGGTTGGAAGCCGAAAAGAGGTAAATATGAATACTCACGATCAGTGAAAGGGCGGGCAGGGGGCCCACTGTGAGTACTGGATGATGCGCATTTTGCTAGGAGAGTATTCCCACAGCGAGCCAGAGGGCATACCTGCGCCGCTGCCCGCCCTCCCCTTTGCCGTCTGACTCTAGCCATCTAGCGGACTGAGTGTTTGCGTTGAAGAGAACAGCATCGATGAGAGTCGCTTCTGTGCGGATCCCATTTCTCGGATTCTGAACCGTTCTCTCACGGAGGTGTTGGTTTAACAATGGAACCAGACTGGTAGTAAAGAAAGGCGCGCTGGCTTGCACACCGGTCGCCTCATTAAACAGACGGCTATAACATACACGTGACCATCGGGATGAACGACTTGTGAACGGATACCTAGTAGCTGCTCAAGAGCTGCTCAAAAGAGCCTGAGTAGTCAGCAGGAAAAATATTAATAACATTTATTATTAATAATAAAGTATTCAAAAAGAATCGAATTACGTTCATATGAAAATGAGGCGTGACGGGTGAAATAGGGAACAGGGGAAATCGCAGACCACGTCTAAGAAAAATTTTATAAATGAGAATAGCTCTTTTGCCATTTTGTTCCAATTAATTGATGTTTTATTTTTGGTTTTACGATTTTTGGCTACAACGCCGTCTCGCGCATGCAGGTGAAAAAGAATAAGTAAAAATTTACCTGAAGGAGACCATAAGGGTTTGGTAGAGCATTGACTCGGGGTCAGTACGCGGATCGTATCCAAATCTGCACCAAAGTCTACCCCATGGGCCCGACTGGATGTAGAATGCATACTTCTGCAGTAGTGTCCTGAACTGATGAATAAAAGAAAGAATGGAATTCTTGAGGACTGAAAACATTCTTCACCAACGGCGAACTGCGGCGTTAAAACAGCAGTTAACAAACAAAACAAGTCAAAACTGCATACATTCTCTAAAATGTATCGAAATAGGACAAGGGAGGAATTCAAATATAGTTCTTTCAAATGACGTGCCCACTATAGGGTGCAAGCCGCGCGCGCTTTGTCGTGATAGATCGCTGCAATTAGGAGTGTTGCAAACAATTAGCTGCTACTAATAATATGCGCACTGATAGTAGATCCGAGTGCCCTTGAAATGAAGTGAGATCCTCCGGAAATTCAAGACCAGGATCTAAGGGTACCCTTCGAGATTAGTCACATGGAACAATCCCTCTCGCGAATGAGGCTTCTGAATCAACCGCAGAGTTTCGTGCTGTTTTTCGCGACATGAAAAGTGTGCAAGGGCATTGATGAACTAATTGCTGCATCTGCGTCTCTCGGGTCCCTGTACTTTTTTGTCGCCAAGGGTTTTTTTTTTTTTTGGGACCATCCCCGTTTCGGCTTGAAATACCCATTTTGCTTCACATTAGCTTAACGATTCTGCTAGATATTTCCGTAACGGCGGAAAGCGCATCCGATAGTAGTACGGGCGTTAGGTCTCTGAGGCAGGAAGGTAGGGCATCAGGCTTCTCTAACACAGAGTTCGGGAGCAATCAAAAGAGGATTCCGGGACAAGGCTGGAGATCGACGAAGGGGAACCTACCTAGTAGAAAGACGGGCGAATCCCCTAGAGGCGGACAGACATGCGGGGCAGACATGCAATTCAATAGTAAAGGAATATGCCCGCGCAATATTAGCGTGACCGCAGTGCGCCCTAGCGCCGTGGCACGCGCACCCTCTCGCCGTTAGAATCTCCCGTTTAACAGAGGGAACATTAGCATTGAAAGAAGGCAGCACCGATGAGAGTCACATCAGTGCGGAAATAGGAAGGGCAATGAAGGAGTTCCTATCACGGATTCTGGGTCGTTTCTCACGTTTTTTTTTTCCTCACCCTGCACCACTGACCACCTCTGCCTCGATGAGCTGGCTTTTCTTTGTGGCCTTCAGGACATTTTTTGAGCAAGAATAGGATTTCAGAAGATGAGAACGTTCCAAGGATTCGTTCAGCAGGTATGAAGGACAATTCTGAGTTCACTGCTTAAAGGCAGGCGCAAAGGACACTTATTTCGACGGCCGGGTTGACCTACTGACATTTTCTTTCGAAGTTGATCCACAGGCTCACCAGCCGTGTAGAAAAAGGGTCGTTTATTTTGAGTGTTTTCGGCACTCGCTTTGCTTCACTTTCGATCAGTGAAAGTTGTGAAAGATCTATGTTGACGATTATGGCAAATGCTGAACGTCAAACCAACTTGAGCTTAACTTTCAAAAACTTACTTGAGTAAGTTGTCGTCTAGACCCGTTTTGTAAGCAATAGCGTTTCTAGTCCACATAGGGCGCTCTCGAAATAGTGCTGCCAGCATTCTGTGTGGCTCCTCATTTTTACACCTGGAACAGCATAGCAATAATAATTTCGAGAACTAATTATTTGATTCAACTTGCGAAGAATTTATATATTTCTAAATTATTCAAGAACCCCCATGTTAAAATTCCAATCCGCATCGTAGAAGTCAAGAACGACAGAGGCGCGCTCATCTTGCTTAAATTATGTTCTTCTTTTTGGGTAGGATATGTAACCAACGAAAGAGAATCGCTTTTTGGATGATTGAAAGCAGGCATACCTAAAATCGGCATCGAGAACAGCTTCCTCTGACGGAGCGGTAGGGAATGGATCGTTGGCCTGCACAGTCACTGACAGGGCCTTTCTTTCGAGTCGTAAATCTTCAAAGAGATAGAACTTATTAGATTATAGACAATGCATGAACCAAGTATGAGTGAGAAGAATTCAAAAATCGCAGTTCAAACAAAAGAAAGCCGAAACTCATGGAAAGGAGTAGAGTATCAGGTAACCAAAACCAACGGAAAACTCAGCCTAGCTTGATATACTTGTGAGTCTTGATTACACAGCAAAAAAGGCACGACCACTTCATATCTTGATTCATAAGGTGAAGTAGAACGGGGAATTAGAAGGTAAATCTTCATTGATTCAAGAAGTTTCAATTATGGAGATACTAGCTTACTTTGACCATGTCCAGTCTTTTTCCGGATCTTTTCGAGTGTGAAGTCTGATTCGCGACATAGCATTTTCGTGGACGGAGTGTTGTAGCGACTGAACTGGTACGGCGGCAAAAATAAAGGTGTGTAGCCAGGATATGAGTCAGGGCGGTCCCACCTCAAAAGAATGCTGTAGCAAAAGTAAAAAAAGAAATAAAATAACTTTTGAAATACCCTATTATTGAGAGTGTTAGAAATGGAAATCACAAACAATCCTGTATTACCTGCAAACGTAATGTCCTAGTTGAACCGTTTAATCGCACACTGTAGAAGCCATAAGTGAGTTACAAAGAATCGCTTCAAAAATAACAAAAATATTCAAAATAGACGTGATCACAACGAGAGGCAGCGCGAATTAGAATGTACAAAGTTGAAAAAAACGATGCGGGGAATCATATCTGGTCAATTACACTTGTTTACGAATGATAAAAAAATCTTACCAGCAGAGTGCGCTAGGAAGATCTCTTGGAATAAGACGAGGAATGAGATCGTCAAATCCTTCACCTTCCTGCCGCCGTTTTAGTGGCAGATATTGGAAGTCGCACATAGTGTCAAAGGTGTATAAAACGTTTACCTGTAAAACGACTGCTATCAACATCTGACCTGACCGTAATCAAACAGATTATTAACAAAACCCTATGTATACCGAATAGCTTGACATTCACAAATACAATGAGGGATTTACTATGCTCTCCGAAACATTCTACTCAAGAGTTTCCATCAGGCTACAACGGTTTTCTTCGTTCTACAAAGAAAAAGCACTCTTTTGGATGACACATCCAAAAACGCTATGGCAATCGCGGATACTCACCAAGCCTAAACACGTTGTTTCTATGACTTCCGGCTTCTTTTTCCTTCGTCGGAATTCCATCACCAAGCGTAACGTGCCAGATGTGACCTTAGAAACCACACAGTCAGATGGGATCATGGAACTAGAACATTAAATAATTTCGTACCGCAGAATCAAGTTTCTTTTCTGAAACGGAGGCACTCGTATAAGGATTCTCTGGTGTGTGACGTAATTCCAACGCTTGACTAGCAAAGTGGTTCTGAAAAAAAAATCATTTTTACAAACCGCATGACAATATTGCAATAGAAGAAAGCAGTTGAGGGCGCTATCGCAGTAGTGACTTGCAACTTAAAACCCATTAAACACTCCTTTCTGTTAAGAACAGGGGCCGTATGCTATCTTTCCCCGAAGGGGCTGGGGGACGAAATGTCCTTTAAATTTTCTCTGTCTTCCCATCTGGGATTGCCCTGATAAAGGACCTACATTTAATGTATGTATGTAGGTAAAAGTAAACATGCACTGAAAATGAAGTCGTTCAAAACAAATAAATTTAAAGGAAACTTTGGATCACTAGCTTCGGGGAAGCATAGCATACGGACCCAGGGAGTCTAAGGCGGGGAGCAGACTCTAGGGTGCGCAAGCAGTTCCTTTCCCCCATCGTTCCTGGCCCCTCGAGGCTTAGTCCTAAGAGGATGGCCCCGTACGTGCGATTGTGACAGCACATAGCTGATTTCAATGCTAACTTCAGTGATAGGACGTTTACCTCTTGCCATGTTTCCCATAGGAGCGAAGGTTTCGAAAGATTTGAATTTTGTTCCACTCCTTTTGTGAACTATGTGTGTGAAAAGGAGAATGATAACGAACTCTCGTTGTAGCATAAAAAGAAAGTGAGAAGTTGTGTGTTTTTAAAAAAAAACACACAATATCAAGATGCCAGGTTCCAAGAAGACCGAACATGGAATTTATTGCGAAAGTGTGAAGTATTTGGATGTGCCGTTATAGATTACTACTGCTTTTCAAACGTGATAATTCCGCTTTGGTCACACATAGACTCTGTTTCCCGCTGCAAGGCTGGTCGTAATTACAATCTTAATAAAATATGTGGCATCAGATGCCATTCAGGTCCAAAAGTACACTTGATACTGATCTTTTACTGGGACCGCCATGCTCCGTGCGTTGGAAATCTGCTTTTAACACGATCCGAGGCGCGCGCCATTCTATTAGCCAGATCTGCACTGCCAGCTAGACGCAAAGCATACTACCAAAGTGTGCTTAACTTGCTCTACCTATGAAGCAGAAAACCTGTGATATTTTCGGTAAACCACCTAGGGTCTCGAGAGCGCGATCAAGGTTTTTGATAACTCCAGGATACTGTATCACAACAAACTCAGTTTGTGGTAATTCTGGAGGCGGTTTTCGATAATTGTACATCTAAAAATAACCTCTCCACTTTGAGCACTTATCAAACATAAATTTTGGAAAGATTTGCACATGCGATATACATCGTTGTTCTGCGATAGCTGTACCAAAGAAGAGAATCAACGTTCGCGAAATTTATCCTCAGAATCACTACAATATTCACATCGGTGTATTTACAAAATGGGATATGGAAGGATAGAAAAAACACATCACTGTATGACTCAATAGCTCATCTCATTCCAACTTGAGTTTTCATTTTACCAATCTATTCCACAATATGTTAATAAATACATGACAAACATGACTACTTTTTCAAAGGGAACCCGGTATTTAAAAATATCGAATGACAGTAAGACAGCGACTTTACGAACAGATATTGCGTGGTCAAAACGGTTGAACTGCACAGTGGGCTCAAGCAAGCAAAAACGCGGAAGCAATTGGAATCAAAGGAATACAGAACTTACACTGACCATAGCTGCGATTCAATAAGTACATTCTCGACGCATTTCCTCGAGAGCAAAATTAAGCATCAATGAAACTATGGAGGATCTCAGATGCATACAAGAGTTCTACTTAGCAGCAATACAATGATATCACTATAATCACAACTTATGAATGCCTGTAGATTTCCCATGCAATCTCCTAAAAGGATTAGGTGGAGCACCGATACATCGATACCGTTTTTCAATAGAACTTCCATGAAAAAAGCATGTAATCATAAGGATTTGTAAACTAGAAACAGAAGAGAAAACATTAAAAGCACTGCAACAATCAGCAATAACAGACGATTCTGGATGACTCTGAAATTGGTCGTATTGTACAAGACGAACTTCCCTGTGAAAAACATAACAGAGAGAAATACGATTACAGAGGAGTCGGTGGAGTCTATAGTTTCGTTAAATTTTTCAACCTAACCCTCTGCCTAGACTCGGCCCGCCCAAAACTTTTTTCCCAGGTTTTGTCGACGGCGAAGGGGGAAGGGGAAGGGAGGGGTCCTAAGAAACCTGCTGAAATACCATCGCCCAATGTCATTTAATTTTTTACCTCTTTGCCCCGAGACGATACCCCGCGTAAAAATCCTTGACCGTGCATTACCTTGCTGTCAATTATTCCACCCAAAACAACCCTCACTCCAAAGTGAGTGTGACCACCTTATGGTGGAACCCCAACGGTAGCTCAGCCTAATTTGCGTACATGCATGCTCAAAATACGAAATGTAATTCAAAATACGAAAATACGAAATGTAAACGAAATATAATATGTAATTAGAAAGAAATTCATGGTAAAAAACCGAAACTGCTGTTGATAGGCTTTTAACACTTTCAAAGAAGATAAGATTGAACCTGCACTCATCAACGGTTAAGTTTACAGTTGAAGCTCTACTCTTGGGCATCCAGCAGGAAACCTGCAATGTGCTAGAAAATTGTACCTTCGTATCATGGTGTTGAGCAGACGATTGCTCCTTCCTAGCTCCACATCAGCTTCACGCATTCTCTCTCGTGCCCGACTTATTGTTTCTCTTTGCTGCGACAAATTTCCCAACACTTCCGTTCCAATCTACAAGAATTCGAAGAATAATACGAATAAGAAAACAACATCAAAAAACAGAGTAATTCAAATAGAAGACTAACCTGCTCAGTTTCGACAGCCATGCGGTATGCATTTTGAATCTTTCTCGACGACCTCTCTAATCGTTCAGTATTCGCTATCAGCTGCTCTTCCTAGAACATACTCAATAAATTGGAATCCACTAAAACAACAGCAGCCTCTCCAACCTGTTGATCCATCTCCACTGCCTCGTCGTAAGCAAGTAGTTCGTCTCTGTCTGCAGCCTCACGCAAACGCTTGATAGCCTTCTCGAGTTCGCTGTCAAGAAGACGTTTATCGTTACGATAGCTCTTCACCCTTAGCTCGTACTTGGTCCGTTCAGCACTATAAAGCAAGACATCATATAAGGTATCCTTCAAAACTCTACACTCACGCTGAATTAACAATAAACGATAATATTTGGATGTAATAAATACCTTCCAGCTGCTAGATCTCGCACAGCAAGTTCCATCTGCTCCAATAATTCGGCTACATCAGTAAGGACACGTTGCACGGCTTGTACACTAGCTGGACGTTCTGACACTGGCAATGACGGTAGACGAGCAATAGTTGATGTCACCTGATCGGAATTCAAATCTATTTTGGATCCAAGAAAGGTTTTTTGCCAGTTGGTGAAGTTAAACTATGTCGCCGAGTCATTTTCAAAATAATATGGAGAAGCGCAGCGTTACAAAGGAGTTTTGAAATTGAGTGAGAAACGTCGCGGTCATACTTTGCGACTACGTTGTAGTGCGATTGCGGTCAAGTGTGGACTCGATATGAAGTGTTCATCCAATGTTGCAATTGTGAAGATAGAGCAAGCGCAGAATCGCAAAAACCGCGACGCGAGCTGCGCGCGTTATCACATGGCCAACTCACCTTTCCCCATGAGTTTTTCAAACCATAATTTTAGTTTGAGTATGTCTGTGAGTCCACTTTAGAAGACTTCTTTCACTGATTCGTAAGGATACTGCGAAACAAGACGAAAAAAGCGACGTAAGGCCGATGTCAGAGTTTGTGAATAGGGCGAATCGCTAGCGTAGGCGGTCCCACCAGATCGAGCCATTCGCTGTACGCGACGCGACGGGGATGGTAGCGAATCGCTCGATTCGCAATGTCTGACATCGGCCTAATGCGAAATGCAATGCGTACCAGGGAGTTTGCGAGATCACAAGATTGCAAACTCGATCAAATTGCAAGCACTGCAACGCAACCAGATCTTATAAAATAGATTCTCCAGACAGTAAAAAAAAATACATTCAGTCTTACAGTTTGTACTATCCATAACCAAATGATCAGTTTCCAATATGATAAAAAACGGATTTTCTATTTTGAATGCGAAATCAGCGAAAAAAAGAACCTCCTACCTCAGCTGTTTGAAGTGAATACTGCTGTTCGAATTCTGTTAAAGTCGATGTCGACACACCGACTAACGACATCTGTAAAAGAATGAGAATACGAAGGATATTACAACAACAGTTCGTATTGATGATATATAGCGATAAGACGCTGGCAACAGAAAAAATGCATGTATCT